CTTGAAACTTCCAGCATCCTGAGAAATAGAGTCCTGTATCTGTGTGGAGATACAGGTCAGTTAAAAGTAATAGCTCACCCTAGCTGGTTTGGCTCAGTAGATAGGGTGTCAGCCTGCAGACTGAAGGGCCTGGGTTCGATTCCAGTCAAGAGCACATGCCTCGATCCCCAGTGCAGGGCATGCAGGAGGCAGCCGATAAATGATTCTCATTATTGATGTTTCTATCTCTCCCTCCTTCTCCCTTCCTCTCTGAAATCAATTTTTAAAAAAATGTAACAGCCCAGACTGAAGTCTGGGATTGGCTGATCAGAAAAAGTAGGAGGGAATTTGGTGAGCACCATTGTTAAATGGAAGTGGGTTTTAAACTTGTTGTGCATGGGAATTACCTGGAGATTTGTTAAAACCCGGATTGCTGTGCTCCGCCTTCCAGAGGAGGGCTCGGAATTTGCATTTCTAATGAGTTCTCAGGTGCTGTGGTCTGGGCACCACCTTGGAGAACCGCTCTCACATGATGCTGCTGCGGGTTGAACTGGGTCTGTCGTATGGTGGGTGCTAAGGTCCTGTGTCAAACACTAAGGCTGCAACATTAAAGAATTTGATAGGTAAGATTCTGTATATTGGAATATAATAGCTACTTCCTGCATTCACCAGGAAGATGGAGGCTACATTGAAATGGGCTCATCTGAAATCGGGAAAGGAAAAACAGTCAGCTTTGCCAAGGAAGGCCTTCCCAACCTGTTGACTGTCGCCATCATCTGGAGTCTAGAAGGGCTACATATGCAGAAATTTCTACTGCAAGCGAAAGGTAGGACAAGCAGAGTGGGAGGTGGGAGACATAACAGGGAAAAACACACACAAAACAACAGAGTCCCACTGTGGCCCTAACTCCCCCACCCGCCCTCTCGTAGGAAATATTTGTCTTCCCTTCTTGTGAAGGTACATAAATAATTGTGCTGGGCCCTACCCGGTTTGGCTCAGAGGTTAGAGCATTGGCTGAAGGGTCCCAGGTTCTATTCCAGTCAAGGGCACGTACCTTAGTTGCGGGCTCGATCCCAGGCCCTAGTTGGGGCCTGTGCGGGAGGCAACCAATTGATGTATCTCTCTCACATCGATGTTTCTCCCCCTTCCTTCCACTCTCACTCTGAAATCAATGGAAAAAATATCCTCGGGTGAGGATTATCACTTCTGCACATTGCCCCACCTGTGCAGGGGCCAAGATGGAAGCGGAGGACTCTCACCAGAGGCCTGGGAGGTAGGGATGTAGGGGTGACTGTAGTATTGAGGCCTTTGCTAGGAAGCACACATTCCCGACCCCAGTTAAAATGCAAGATGTATAATTGGACAAGCTCTTTGTTTCTGGTTGTCTAGCCCATAGAATTGACAGAAAGAACAACCAGAAACCTGCTATTATTAGAAGTGTGTTGCATTGCCAAAGAAACCACAAGACCAGCCCAAAATGGCCATTGATTGCTCAACACCCCGGGCAAACCCCAGGCTCCTACCTCACACAGACAGGAGGTGGGCAGCCCCCAGAGGAGGGCTCTTCCCCAGCACATGCATGTGTCCATGGTGGGCATTTCCCAGGGAGGTCAACCAGGAGGCTGACCAAGGATCTCAGTCACATCTCAGACTCTGAAAGCCTCTTTACCCTGCTTAACAATGCAATCCCCATTCTCCCTTTTTCCTCACAGGGGTCTTTGTTCTATTACTCTGTTCACAACACTTGTATTTAAGGGATGTTGAGCTAGTTAAGCTTCTTGTTTGGCTTTGGATTGCTGGACCTTGCGGAACAGTTTAGTGTAAATGAGCAGGTTTTGTTTGTCCCCCAGTGCTGGAAGTCAACAAGAAATGGGGACACCTTCACTGTTTCTTTGGAGACCAAGGCTGTTCCTCCCATTTTCCTGATCGTGCCTTCACACTTACCACAGGTGTGGATGGTGATGGTATTAGGGCAGTGGTCGGCAAACTGCGGCTCTTTTGCCCCTTGAGTGTGGCTCTTCCACAAAATACCAACTTCTGCACATGGGCTAGGAAGTTTCAGTCGCACTGTACATGTGCGCCTGCGTGTGGTATTTTGTGGAAGAGCCACACTCAAGGGGCCAAAGAGCCACATGTGGCTGGAGAGCTGCAGTTTGCCGACCACGGTGTTAGGGGAACAGGGCCCTCATAATGGGAGGGAATTGTAAGATGTTGCTTGGGAGGACCCTCTGTGTGTATGTGTATGATGCGAAAGTCTTGGCCAAAAGGACTCCTTTGTTGCATTGTCCTTATTATATAAAAGCCATTGTGGCATACAGACTGTTACGACTAGCCAAGCTCTGTCTTCTCTGTGTCAGCTCAGACTCCCAACCAGAAAATGGTTCCGATGGATAGAATATCACCCATCAAAGAGTGGGGTAAGCCGAAACCGGTTTGGCTCAGTGGATAGAGCGTCGGCCTGCGGACTGAAGGGTCCCGGGTTCGATTCCGGTCAAGGGCATGTACCTGGGTTGCGGGCACATCCCCAGTGGGAGGTGTGCAGGAGGCAGCTGATATATGTTTCTCTCTCATCGATGTTTCTAACTCTCTATCTCTCTCCCTTCCTCTCTGTAAAAAATCAATAAAATAAAAAAAAAAAAAGAGTGGGGTAAGATGAGACCAGAGGGGTAAGCAGTTCATGCTCACTGAAAAATAAATAAAACTTAAAAAAAAGTGCAGAAAATAAAAAGGAAAAGTACCCGTTCCTAAAAATACCCATTCCTGAAAAATGGGTTATTCCCATTTCCTCTAAGAAATCGGTTAGCTAATGGAAATGTATCTTTACAAATATTTGCCTTTGCAAATATATATGTAGATATGGCTTTAAAGATAAAAATAATAGCATTTTATAGATACACTTTTGTGTAGAGTGTGTACACATATATTAGACGCTAACATATATACCTTTTGTACATACCATTATGGACACTTGCCATAGGCATAAATGTGTGTTATCCTTCTTACTGACTGCAAAATATTCCATTGGTGGGCATCTCAATCCTCTACTCCAGTGATTCTCAACCTTCTGGCCCTTTAAATACAGTTCCTCATGTTGTGACCCAACCATAAAATTATTTTCGTTGCTACTTCATAACTGTAATTTTGCTACTGTTATGAATCGTAATGTAAATATCTGATATGCAGGCTGGTCTTAGGCGGCCCCTGTGAAAGGGTCGTTCGACTGCCAAAGGGGTTGCGACCCACAGGTTGAGAACCGCTGCTGTACTGCCTTAATCCTTCACTGATGGATGTTTCCATTTGCTTGCTGTTTATAAACCATGCTGCAAAGAATATCCTAGTGCCTATATATTCCCATCCTTTGATAATGTTGCTACAAAATAGATTCCTAGAGATGGAATCAAGGCCAATGATATCTATGTCAGATAGTATGTGTATTTTAATGTTTGCTTAATAAGAGTGTTTAATTGTACTCTAAAGAGTTTGACTATCCCTAGCTGGTTTGGCTCAGTGGATAGAGCATCAGCCTGCGGACTGAAAGGTCCCAGGTTCAATTCTGGTCAAGGGCATGTACCTTGGTTGTGGGCACATCCCCAGTAGGAGGTGTGCAGGAAACAGCCGATCGATATTTCTCTCTCATTGATGTTTCTAACTCTCTATCCCTCTCTCTTCCTCTCTGTAAAAAATCAATAAAATATATATATATTTAAAAAGAGTTTGACCACTATAATTCTAAACTCATTTGGGTATTAAAATTAGATTATTTTAAACAAAATGAAATAATCATGGCTCATAAAAATTAATACATGTTTGTTTTCCCACAACTCTTTTGGATTTCTCCTTCTTTGGCAAAAAGGACCCTAGCTCAGTGTACATTTCTTATAGTTATAAGTATAACTCAGGCAATCCATCTATTAAATAACTCAGCTTTCTCAGTTAACATAGAAACAGAATCCTGCTCCACATGTAGACTGGCTAGCTTTCCCTTTAACATTAGCCATTCATTTTGTGGAGCATGGATTCAAAGAAAAGAAGGTGCAATATACCTGTTACCATATGCAGGTATGCACCGCATTTGGAAGAGTGGTAAATCCTATTTGACTTATTTCCGTGATTCTCAGCTGTTAACATGCATGAGGAAAGCCCGATAAGCTTGGTAGAAATACACATTTTCAGGTCCATCTAAAAATTCTGATATGAGTGGTTTAAACGATCATTGTTGATGAAACAGAGTGTGGGATCTTGGAGGGAAGGTGGGGAAGGTAGATGCATGGGAGGTAATCAACCAAAGACCTTGTATGCAAATATGCATAACCCTTGGACATAGACAATAGGGTGGAGAAGGCCTGGGCAGGTGGCAAGCGTGGGCTGGAGGGGGTCAATGGGGGGGAGGGAAGGGAACATTCGGAATACTTTCAACAATAAAGATTAAAAAACCACAATCATTGCTTGTGATTGAATATAGGTGGATTGCATTTGGGAAATAACTTAGCTACTGGTTAAGATCATAGTTTGTAGTTATAGCAAAGTCTAGTTCAGGAATCAGTTGTACCATTTGCTGTGTGATCTTGGCCAAGTTGCTTAACCTCTCTGAGCCCTAGCCCCAGTTTACTTCTCTGTCAGTAAGCTATATTATCTCATTGTGAAGCTTAAATAGACACTGCAATGAAAGTACTGAGCCTAGAGTAAGTCTCAAATATGTTAGTCATTGTTATTAAGAAAGTGATTTATCATAACTACGTACTATGAATATCCTTTTTAATGGTATCCATTCGAGTGTGAATTCCCCTAGCAGATGTACAGTATGAATTGATTTATAAAATATTCATAATTTCAGTGTTCTGGAAATGTGGCTTCAGTGTCAAGCAGAGTGTCTCTGTGGTAGCCCCCTTCCATCTCTCCCAATTTCCCTCCATTTCGCATCTTTCTATTCTTTGCCTATTACTCCTTTCAACCAGTGGTTCTGATTTGCCAGATCAACAAAACCAAACTTAATACCAGTTTACTTTTTTAAAAGAGCATCTTTATTATTTCTCCATGCTGAACACAGCACGGAGCAGAAACGTTTAATACATATATGTCAGTCTGGTGGCTTTGGCGCCACCTCTGCCCAGAACAAACTGATGACAGTTGCTCAATTGTTACCAATCACAGTGCAAGTGAAGGGGGAGGGAAGGGTGGTGAAGAAGGTATCCCGAGATCTCTTGGAGCAAATAGTCCCAAACACAGCATGATGTTCAAAATAAATTACAAAAATTAAATAGTATAAATAAGCTGAAATTTAAGTTAGGAAGAGTCCCAGAGTGTGGGTGTTGGCAACAACCAGCCCACAGGAGAGGTAGCTGTGGAGGTGACAGGGGTGTTTCCAAGGCTCAGGCCCCTGTCTCCTGTTGGTCCACTGAGGTCACTGGGTTCCTCAAAGCTGCCAGGCCACTCAGGCGTTCAGCTCCAGGTCGGCAACGTATTTCTGGACCCAGTCCTCACTGGGGTTGGCACAGACCTGCCGGCCTCTTCTGGTTTGGAAGCTGTGGAGAGGAATGGAGGGTTACACACTGGGGAGTCCAGCAGGGGAACCCTGGCCCCGCCGTGGCCCTCCACCCACTCTGTGCTGGGCAGCTCAGGGCCTCCTTGCTCTCTCAGGGACCCGCCACCTATCTCAATCCAGAGAGCTCTTCCCACTGACTCAGGGAGCCCCTCAGAGGATCCTGCTGCAGCCCCCTCTTCCCCTCCCTTCCCTCTGGGCTGGGCCAGCCCCTGCCCTGACTCTGCAAGCCCCTGGCCAGGCCAGGCCACATCTCAGCGACCTGGGTCCTGCATAGTTGATAGGATCTCCTGGAGGACAGGGCCCTTCTGTGCCCCTGGGCACTGCCCCCCCCTCTATCTCCCCAGGGATGGGCAGGAAGACTGGCACTTACATGACACCAGACTTGGAACACTGGCTGCTGGTCTCAAAATAGTCGACGATGTATGTCCGTGGAATCTGCCGAGGCGCATAGGTGAAGCAGCAGGCGGTCGGGGTGTCAGCACCAACTGTAGAGGAAGGGACAGAATGAGCCTGAGTCACAGTTCAGGAGCAAAGGCAAGATCTGAGAGCTAATCCCTGAGAGGGTGAGGAAGACAGCCTTGCTCAGGGCGTGGGCTGGGAGACAAGGTCACTAGAAGGCTCTGGGCATTTTTGTTTAGAAGAATCCCTGTCTCTGTCCTTGCTTCTGAATGTATCCTCGTTCTCTTTGAGTCTTCACTGTGGGTACTGTCTTTCTTTTTTTGTGATCCAGGCATCCAAGCAGACTGTTCTGTAATCTCATCTCCCTTCAGGCAATCCTGTCTGATTCAAGAAGCCATACCCCAGCAAGAGAGAAACCTTGGACATATCTCCTATGACATCCAAGGAAAGAGCTCTTGGGGGACCTAGAATGGGTTAGCTGCAGAATAACACCACCGGGCAGTAACAAGACTTGGATTCTGTCTCTGGTGAACTCACTTGCTTAGGTCTCTACTTTGCCATCTGTAAAATGGGACTATTGCTCCCCTACCCGACCCTGGCTCTCAGATATGGGGACAAGGCTAGTTAACACCCTTTGAATGAAAATACAAGTCTTGCAGAAAAAAAGCAAAGATGCTTTATGGTCCTTTAAGAAGTTCTCTGTTTTCTCTTGGAGGCTCTCAAGACCACAAAAAAAGATGGTTGTGGTCTGACCGTGGCCAGAGAGCAGGGATACTGCAGCAGCTCAGACTCACCTGGTGCAGACAAGACCTGGCTGCAGAGGGCCATGGTGCAGAGGAGGACGGCCAGGGCAGCCCCGGAGACCTTCATGATGCTGAGCAGATGAACTGTGAGCTCGCTTGTCAGAAGAGCAGAGATGGGAGCAGGCACTCACTGCTGGCTGCGTCCTTCTGCTTTGTGAAGCCATCTCCCCTACTCTTTATAGGCAGCCCTGTGGATGAGGAAATGGAATCCCGGGGTGAGGTGGGAAATTTTTAAGCATAGGCTGAGTGTTGCACAACTCAGGGTCCTGGGTGACCACAGGGGTACAGGATATCCAAGAATAGCTTCTCTGAGCTGTAAGTCTGAGCCCACAACTCGTGACTTGTTCTGGTTTCTTGTGAGGAAATGGTTTCCCCCGAGAGCAGGAGGAGAGAAGAGTGTCTTGACTCCGGGCTATTCTTAGCCGGTCCCTTTCCATAGAACCTATACATGAACTCTTCAGCCCCATCCAACCCACAGGGCTGAAACGTCTGTGCTTCCCCAGCTGCTCTAACCACTCAGATGGGGTAGATGTGATGATGTTGTGGAGGGTGGCACAGCCTTGATTGGATGTAAGCAACGGAAGTAAGGAGTCCCTGCTAGGGGACTAGGAAGGATGAGGTCATGGTCCTGTCATTTGTCCACTCATCTAATGGTCATTGAATGACTAGGGTCACTACGTTAAATACTAGTTGAGGATCATAAAGAAACATTAGATGTGGGTGTTAATATGTCAGGAGCCTAAAAATATTTATACCTGGTAACTTGAACACATTTCTAGGAAAGAGTTCTAAAGAAACCAACCCAAATAAGAAAGCATCTTCCAACATGAACATATATCTGACCCAGCATCATTTATAGCTCCAAAATAAGGAGACCCAAGTGTTCCTCTATCAGAAATGATAAAGAAAAATATGGCACATCCACTGGCTTGCTTATCGTTAAGCCCTTAATCTGAATGGAGTGTAGTAGAATAATATCAGTTACAAAAATGTAAGATGAGCACTGGCTGGTTTGGCTCAGTGGAAAGAGCATCAGCCTATGGACTAAAGGGCCCTGGGTTCAATTCCAGTCAAAGGCACATGCCCGGGTTGCAGGCTCGGTCCCCAGTGTGGAGCATGCAAGAGGCAGCCGATCAATGATTCTCTGTCATCATTGATGTTTCTGTCTCTTTCTCCCCCTCCCTTCCTCGCTGAAATAAATAAAAATATATTAAAAAATGTAAGATGGGGAGAAATGTAAGATGAAAAATTATACAAATTGTACAAGATGAAGAATTATACAAATATATACACACATATGACAAATATAACCATATACATATGCTAGGCAAGAAAAAATAAAAAGCATTGGAAATAAATGCCCCAATGCTGTAATAGTACTTATATATATGTGTGAAAGATCTATGGATGGCTATTTTTCTTATTTTTCTCTATTTCTGCAGTTTCCTCATTTTTTAAAAATTTATATTTATTGATTTCAGAGAGGAAGGGAGAGGGAGAGAGAGATAAAAACAATGATGAAAGAGAATCATTGATCAGCTGCCTCCTGCAGGCCCCACACTTGGGGACTCAGCCCACAATCCAGGCATGTGCCCTGGCTGGGAATTGAACCGTGATCTTCTGGCTCATAGATTGACACACAACCACTGAGCCACGCCAGCTGGGTATTTTCTCAATTTTTTAACGTGAACATGTTTGACCTTCCTAGTCAGCTCACCAATTTACAAACACATTTTGTTTTAAAACATTTACAGCAACCCTGGTTGAAAAGTAGGTTGTTGTCGATTATTTAATTTTAATTTGAGAGAAATATACCAAGTTTCTGTCCAAGGGCCTTTGCCAAAATGAAATGTTGATTTCCATGTCTCTGAACTATTTTAAGGAACCTGTATAATATTTACATAAATAATGCCAAATTCAAAGCAGTTTTCTGTTTTTATTCTTTTTGATTCATAATGTCAGTGGTGTGAAAGGGCCTACTTTCTCAGTCAGGTCTGTATGGTTTTTCCTTCTCCATTCTTTATTATTTTATTGTTACATAATGAATAGGCATAAGTGACATTTTATAATGAGAAACAGATTTAGTTCTTCTTAATGACCTTTGTCCTCTAGATGCCCCTGGTCTACTAGGAGGGGCGGAATATATATAAACAGGTAACCACAGCACTTAGAAGAAAGTGCTAAGATTCCTGGGGGGAAATAAAGGAGGGGGAGGAAGCAATGACCTCCCTTGGGAGGGCTGAGGAAGGCTTCTTGAAAGGGATGGGATTTTGGTTGGGTCTTGAACATTGCCCAGGATTTGAACATACATGGATGGGGATGTGCAGGGGTCCAGCTGATGCAGTTACAGGTGTAAAATTGCTGGCTCAGCAGGAGAGAGCTGTCGGTGTCGCTGCACACTGGTGGAGCAAATATGGACAATGGAGCTAAATTGGGGCCATATCCGAGGGTGTAGAATTCCCCCAAAAGGGGCTAGAACAATGGAGGAAACAAACATAAGCAAAGTGAGACCACACCTTAGGAATTCTGTCCTTCCTGTGTCTGTCGAGTTCCTTCTCTGAAACATGTGGGCTATGTTTCTGTCCCATCCCTGTGATTGCTAATGCTGGTCTTGAAGGAGGTGAAGCAAAGACAAGGTCAGGACAATGGCCGGTTTCACTGAGGCTTTAGCATCCAGGTGTCATCCCTTGTTACTGTCAGTTCCGGAAAACTGAGTCTATCACTTGTTTCATTGGAAATTCTAGATCACAGACAATGCCTCCTCCTCACCCACATCCTCTGCCCAGTTGATATCCTGAATTGTGTTCCCTCCTTTACTTCTTGGGGGAAACCCCCTTCATACTTGTGATTCAGTGTATGAGAGCTAGTTTCTATGAGTTGGGCAGGACAAGAAAAAGGAAATGGAAAATGCTGAATCAGCCACTTTCTGATAATGGCCTCTGTTATCTGTTCCATGATTACAGCACTTACCGTGTTGCATTATGTGCATTATTTATGTAATTTTCTCGTCAAAAAATTTAGACCATGTCCTGTTGATTTCAAACCAAATTCATACCATGTCTTGTTAGTAGATTTAAACCAAATCCTAGCACATGATAATTATAACATGATGAATTTTCTGACATAGTCTCTATTTCTTATAATTTTGTTTATTTTAATAAAGGTGACTTATTGAATATAAAATTCTATCTTAGTAATTATATGTGTAAGATTTTTCCCTATCAGTCCTAAAACCAGGAAATAGCCTTTTGTCTTATGGTTGTTGTTTTTTACTCAAATTGGAAAATAACATACTTGTATGCAAAGTGTGTATTTACTCTGCATGTGTTGACTGAATAATGTGAGGGAGCCTTGGGATGGTTGAGTTGATTGCGAAGGGTCTTAGAAATTTCCTAGGTGGAAAATTGATGTTCCCAGGTGAAATGATTAGGGCAGGATCACGCAGATAGAATTGGTCAGTTTTATATTTCACTGTCTGCATCATTTAGCAGTGTATCTCCAGTGATAACCACAACGCCTGGCACATAGTGGAGCTTAATAAAAATTGGGTGAATGAATGAACAAATCACTGATTTAATTAACAGTATGTGTTATGTCCTAGTCCCACTATGGAATTGAAATACTAAGAAGGAAAGGCCAGAAAAGCCATAGAGTCAAGGTCTTGATCTTTGGGGGATCAACCAAGGTCTCTTAGGCAGCGGTGGCAGAAAGTAGCCAGCCGCCAACACGGTGGGTCCTCAGCATGGAGGGGCTTGATCTGTGCCCTAGATTCCTGGCTCATTCCAGCCTCTTTGAGGCCCCATCTCAGTCCAGCAGAACACCCCAGCCTTGAGTGCAGGGAATTCTGGCTGAGCAATTCATGTTCTGCAACATCACTGCCTTGTCCTCATTGCTTCCCAAGCCCTGGCCCTGCTGGGTTGGTTCCCTTTCTGTTTCTGGCCCTAAAGTTGCACTTCCCCAGGTGTCAATCTCAGCTCTCTCCCTTTGACACTGGGGGCTCCATGGATGGGTTCACTAATATTTTTTTAAAAAACATTTTTATTTTATATATTTTTTATATATTTTATTGATTTTTCACAGAGAGGAAGGGAGAGGGATAGAGAGTTAGAAACATCAATCAGCTGCCTCCTGCACACCCCCTACTGGGGATGTGCCCGCAACCAAGGTACATGCCCTTAACCGGAATTGAACCCGGGACCCTTCAGTCCGCAGGCCGACACTCTATCCACTGAGCCAAACCGGTTAGGATGGGTTCACTAATATTGATGCTCCTGTTTGGCCCAGCCTCAGCCTCCTTTTTTCAGGTGTGGCCCGGAGTCAGGTTGCAGCAGGCGTGACTCCACCTTTCTTGTAGGTAGAAACAATGCCCTGCGCCCCTTTCTAGCCTCCTAGAGGGACAATGTCTCTATGCAGTCCTCTCCCTCTGCTTTTCTATCTTGAGTCCTTGTCATGCTCCTCTGGCCATTTCTTTGTATGTGTACAGTAGATCAAGGCATACATCTGGGCATTGGATTAGATCCTTCTCCCTGTCCCTGCTTCTCTTCTGCATTCTCTACTCAGTAAAAGGCATTCTCTTCTACCCAGCTCCCAAGTCAGAAACCTGGGAGTCACTTTCGGCTAGTCCCCCCACTTCACCTCCAGTGGTCCCCCCTTATCTGTGCTTTCACTTTCCTTGGTTTCAGTTACCCATGGTCAATCATGTTCCAAATTTTAAATGAAAAATTCAATGATAAAAAATTAATACGTTTTAAACTGTACACTGTCCTGCTCCATCCCACTGGGGATGTGAATCCTGTCTTGGTCTGGTGTACCCACACTGTATACACTGTCTGCCATTAGTCGCTCAGTAGCCATCTCAGTTATCAGAGTGATTGTTGGTATCACTGTGCTTGTGTTCAACTAACACTTATTTTACTTAATCTTGGCTCCAAAGTGCAAGAGTAATGATGCTGGCAATTGGGATATGCCAAAGAGAAGCTGTAAAGTGCTTCCTTTAAGTGAAAAAGTATGCATGTAGTATAGGCAAAAGCATACAGGGGTTGGCGAAAGGAGGTTTACAGTTGTGAGAACATGAAACACAGTTTATTCTTATGTACTAGAGGCCCGGTGCACAGATTCATGCACTGGTGAGGT